CACCGGGGGACATGTGGACACCAGGGGACACAGGGACACTGGAGGGACATGGGGACATTGAGGGGACACTGAGGGGACATGGGGACATCGAGGGGACACCGGGGGGCACGGGGACACCGGGGGGCACCGGGGGACACAGGGACATTGAGGGGACATGGTGACATTGAGGGGACATGGGGACACTGGGGGGACACCGGGGAGGGGGCATGGGGACATTGAGGGGACATGGGGACACTGGGGGGACACCGGGGGGGGGCATGGGGACATTGAGGGGTCATGGGGACAGCTGGGGGACATGAGGACACTGGGAGACATGGGGACACCAGGGGGCATGGGGACATTGTTGGGTCATCGTGGTCAAGGTTGGACCATGGACATTGAGAGGTCATGGGGACATTGTTGGACCATGGGGACATCACTGGGTGGTGGGGACATCGTTGGGTCATCGTGGACAACGTGGGGTCATGGGGACACTGAGGGGTCATGGGGACACTGAGGGGACAGGGGGACACTGAGGGGTCATGGGGACATTGAGGGGACATGAGGACACTGAGGGGACATGGGGACATTGAGGGGGCATGGGGACATTGAGGGGACATGAGGACACTGAGGGGTCATGGGGACACTGAGGGGACACGGGGACCTTGAGGCTTGTGGGACATTGTTAGGTCATCATGGACCATGGGGACGTGGTTGGCTCATGGGGACATCATTGGGTCATGGGGACGTTGTTGTGTCATCATGGTCGAGGCTGGACCATGTGGACATCACTGAGCTGTGGGGACATTGTTGGGTGTTGGGGACATCGTTGGGTCATGGGGACATCGTTGGGTCATCGCGGTCAAGGTTGGACCATGGCGATCCATCGTTGGATCTTGGGGACATCACTGGGTCATGCCAACCTCACCCCCGTGTCCCCTGCTGTCCCCGTGTCCCCTCCCGGTGTCCCCTGCCGTCCCCGCGTCCCCTCCAGCTGCGGGACCTGCGTCACGAGAACGTGAACCTGTTCCTGGGCTTCTTCCACGACTGCGGCATCTTCGCCATCGTGTCGGAGCACTGCTCGCGCGGCAGCCTCGAGGACCTGCTGCGCAACGAGGACATGAAGCTCGACTGGATGTTCAAGTCCTCCCTCCTCATCGACCTCATCAAGGTGCCCAAGGGGTGGCCCCGGCGGTCCCGCGGCCACGGGGTGACCACTGAGGTGGTGGCGGCCGTGGGCGTGGTCTTGGAGGTGGTGGTTTCCATGGGCGTGGTCTTGGAGGTGATGGTGGCCATGGTGTGACCTCGGTGGTCTGGTGGCCACGGGATGTTCCTGGGGTCATGGTTCTACAGCGTTGTTGTAGACAGTGGTGGTGATTGTTGACCAGGGCATTGCTGACAATGGCAACGCCAACCATGACGTCGATGGTTGACCATGACATTGATTGTTGACTGTGGCATTGTTGACCACGGCAATGGTTGACCGTGACGTTGATTATTGATCATGTCATTGTTGACCATGCCATCCATTGTTGACCATGACATTGATTCTTGGCCATGGCATTGTTGGCCATAATGTTGATTGTTGACCATTACATTGACAGCTGACCATGGCAATGGTTGACTGTAACATTGATGGCTGACCACGGTGTTGTTGACCATGGTTTTGCTGACCACGGCAATGACTGACCATGACGTTGATGGTTGACCATGGCATTGCTGACCATGGCATTGTTGACCGTGGCAGTGGTTGACCGTGCCATTGATTGTTGACTGTGCTGTTGCTGACCACGCCATTGTTGACCATGGTGTCAATTGTTGACCACGACATTGATGGTTGACCATGGCTCTGTTGACCATGGCCCTGTTAATCATGGCCTGGTTGACCATGCCATTGTTGACCATGACATTGATTGTTGACCATGGCCTTGTTGACCATGGCCTTGTTGACCACAACATTGTTGACCATGCCATTGTCAACCATGACATTAATAGTTGACCATGGCCTTGTTGAGCATGCCGTTGTTGACCACGGCCTAGTTGACCATGGCCTTGTTCACCATGGCAATGGTTGACCATGACGTTGATTGTTGACTATGGCCTTGTTGACCACACCGTTGTTGACCATGGCCTTGTTGACCCTGCCATTGTTGACCCTGCCATTGATTGCTGACCCTGCCATTGTTGCCCATGGCCTTGTTGACCATGACTTTGTCACCATGACCTTCTTGAACATGCCATTGTTGACCATGCCGTTGATTGTTGACCCTGCCAATGTTGCCCATGGCCTTGTTGCCCATGGCCTTGTTGACCCCGGCGTTGTTGACCCTGCCATTGCTGACCATGCCCTTGTTGACCCTGCCATTGATTGTTGCCCCTGCCATTGTTGCCCCTGCCATTGATTGTTGCCCCTGCCATTGTTGCCCCTGCCATTGATTGTTGCCCCTGCCATTGTTGCCCCTGCCATTGATTGTTGCCCCTGCCATTGTTGCCCCTGCCATTGATTGCTGACCCTGCCATGGTTGACCCTGCCATTGATTGTTGACCCTGCCAATGGTGACCCTGCCATTGATTGTTGACTCTGCCAATGTTGCCCATGGCCTTGTTGCCCATGGCCTTGTTGACCCCGGCGTTGTTGACCCTGCCATTGCTGACCATGCCCTTGTTGACCCTGCCATTGATTGTTGACCCTGCCATTGTTGACCCTGCCATTGATTGTTGACCCCACCAATGTTGACCCTGCCATTGTTGCCCATGCCATTGATTGTTGCCTCCGCCATTGTTGCCCCCACCATTGCTGACCCCACCATTGTTGACCCCGCCGTTGATTGTTGACCCCGCCGTTGTTGACCCTGCCATTGATTGTTGACCCCACCAATGTTGCCCCTGCCATTGTTGCCCCCACCATTGTTGACCCCGCCGTTGATTGTTGACCCCGCCGTTGTTGACCCTGCCATTGATTGTTGACCCCACCAATGTTGCCCCTGCCATTGTTGCCCCCCCCATTGTTGCCCCCGCCGTTGATTGTTGACCCTGCCATTGCTGACCCCGCCATTGCTGACCCCGGCCTTGCTGACGGCGGCGCGGTGCCGGCAGGGCGTGCGGTACCTGCACCACCGCGACGTGGTGCACGGGCGGCTCAAGTCGCGGAACTGCGTGGTGGACGGGCGCTTCGTGCTCAAGGTCACCGACCACGGCTACAACCAACTGCTGGAGGCGCAGCGCGTGCCGGCCCCGCCCCCGCAGCCGCACGGTGAGGGCGGGGCCGCAGGGGCGTGGCCTTGTGGGTGTGGCCTCATGGGTGGGGTCTCATGGGTGTGGCATCAAGGTTAGGGCCTCATGGGTGTGGCCTCCTGGGTGTGGCCTCATGGATGTGATCTCATTGGTGTGACATATGGGTGTGGCCTCATGGGTGGGGGCTCATGGGTGTGGCATCAAGGTTAGGGCCTCATGGGTGTGGCCTCCTGGGTGTGGCCTCATGGATGTGATCTCATTGGTGTGACATATGGGTGTGGCCTCATGGGTGGGGTCTCATGGGTGTGGCATCAAGGTTAGGGCCTCATGGGTGTGACTTCATGGGTGTGGCCTCATGGGTGTGGCCTCATGGGTGTGGCCTCATGGGTGTGACATATGGGTGTGACCTCATGGGTGTGACCTCGTGGGTGTGGCCTCATGGGTGTGACTTCATGGGTGTGGCCTTGTGGGTGTGGCCTTGGGATAAGCAATGGGGACTCTGTGGGAGGTGTGGCTTTGGGGTGGGCGTGGCTCTAGATGTGGCCAATAGGGAGGACTAAAGAGAAGGGGTGGAGCCCTGGAGAGAAGGGGCGTGGCCTTATGGAAGGGTGTGGCCTGTGGACAGGCACATGGCCTTTGATTTAGGGGTGTGGCCTTTGGGTTGGGGGTGTGGCCTTTGGGTTGGGGGTGTGGCTTTTGGGTTGGGGTGTGGCCTATGGGTGTGGTTGGGGCATTGAAAGGCTTACATTGGGGGCGTGGCCACAACCAACCCCACCCAATTAAAGGCGGGGTCTCCTTGAAGAGGGCGTGGCCTCATGTGTGGGCGTGGCCTGTCCATTCATTGGTGCCACCTCCCTTCAATGGTGGCCATAGGAAAGGGGGTGTGGCTTGTATTAAAGGGGGCGTGGCCCTGTAGTGACACACCCCCCTGTGGGCGTGGCTTCAAGCTGGGCATGTCTTACCCATGCTGGGGGCGTGGCCACACCCTCAAGCAGCCTCCCATTGGCTTCTGGGTTGGGGTGGGCGTGGCCTATCAGGACGGGCGTGTCCTGGGCGGGGTGGGCGTGTCAGTGTGGGCGTGTCCGAGCCTGGCCCCGCCCCCAGAGCGGCTGTGGACGGCGCCGGAGCTGCTGCGGGACGAGGCCCTGGAGCGCCGCGGGTCCTTCCGGGGCGACGTCTACGGCATCGGCATCATCATGCAGGAGGTGATCTGCAGGAGCCCCCCCTACTGCATGCTGGGGCTGCCCCCCGAAGGTGCGACCCCAAAACCGACCCCAAATCTGAGTTCCTCACCCCAAAAAACCCCCTGAGCCCCCCCCAGTGCATGCTGGGCTGCCCCCCGAAGGTGCGACCCCAAAACCGACCCCAAAAACGAGTTCCTCACCCCAAAAAACCCCCTGAGCCCCCCCAGTGCATGCTGGGGCTGCCCCCGAAGGTGTGACCCCAAAACCGACCCCAAAAACGAGTTCCTCACCCCAAAATACCCCCTGAGCCCCCCCAGTGCATGCTGGGGCTGCCCCCCGAAGGGGCGACCCCAAATCTGACTTCCACACCCCATACTACCCCCTAAAAACCCCCCT